TGTGTGTGTGTGTGTGTGTGTGTGTGTGTGTTATTTCTATTGCCAGGTTGTACTGTATGCACAGATTAGATAAAGCACCTGGGCGCCGCCTGCATCAGCACCCACCCTGACAGACAGATTAGAACAAGGCTAATAGTGCTTGGTTTATGCTTGACATAGTGATACCTGGCTTTGTGTCGAGCACGAAGGCTCCACAAGTTGTCGCAGCGTTCAGTCGTGCACCTCTGACTTTTTAACTCAGCGTGTGGTTGGGGTTTATCAGACATGATTGTCATAAAAAATGTACTAATAGAAGCCCGAACAACATGTGTGAGGATTTCACAAAGAAGGACAATTTGTTTTTAAATGGTTTAGAAATTGGACGCCTTAAAAATCTACATTGAGTAAATATTTTGACACCCAAATGAATCTGTTTGCAGGATATTCTACCTTTGTTTCATTTTAATACTTGACTTTGTCATTACAGGACTTGTATAAAGGCGATACAGTATTTCCATGAGAGATAGGAGTTTACAGTGAATTACAATTCCTCCTCGGCATTGAGGAGGTTGGTTTATGCCCTAACACTTGTTTCCTTCTTGTTTCTTGCCTGCTATCATTTCAGAGCATACTGCAACAATAACATTGTCAAAACCGGAAAAATAGTGATTTATAACCTCCATTCTCCACTGTCAAATAAACCATACTGTTTTTTCCAGCTAATCATCACACCCTCATTACACTACACTTGGACCCATGTGTTCATTGAGGGGAGCATGTGCAGTGACCCCGACACTCTCCACGATCCTGTCCACCCCTCCCCCATCTAAACCGCATCCATACACACAATCCCATCCTCCTTCACTCCTCCCCCTCTCTCAGGAGTCGCATCCCTGCGTTCAGCTTCCCATACAGGCAGATTGAGAGTGAGAGACAGACTGGACAACAATACATCACACATGGAACCAATATTCAGAGCAGCATCCTTTCTCTAAATATCAAGAAAGAAACAGTGCCAAAAGACAAACAGCTACGCCCAAGAATGTTAATCCATCTCTTTTTGATAAATTACCTTGAAATACGATTAAATCCAGCAATGTTCAGCCTTTACTCATGCCCTTGCAGTTGCAGCTTGTAAAATCCCATGTTGTCAATTTGCATGTGTGTTATTGCAGGATGCATGCTCCTTGATGGGTTCCCAAATTCCCCAACTGTTGTGCCTTTTCAAAATCAATTTTTATACTCCAAAGTCCTCTGACTGAAAATAAGGCTGCCTTTTCTTTGTTACTGAAAACACCCAGCAAAAGCAGCATGTAAACACACCAATACGCAGTCAAACAAGACACAGAAACATGTGCCGAAAGGTCATTAGTTATCCAAATAGAATTCCTGAAATCCCGTTTCATATGTTTATGAAAAGAGAGGACTTTCACTAAAAAAGGAGAGATGTGTGAGAGAGATAAAAGACTGGGAAGCAGATCAGACATTAATGTGATGACCACACAAGCTCAATTTGTAAAAGGCCTCAATGTGACTGCACATCATTCAAACAATGTGCTCAAGGGGCAGCAGCTTTTTCACACTTAAATTTAAGAAGCAACTGAAACATTTAACAATGGATACAAACTTTTTTTAAACCCAACCCTTCCCTGGAATTTTCCAGGCGTGGGCCCTTGAAGGCTAATAAGGTTTGCAAAATGTTGAATCAAATACACCCTAAACATTTCTAATATTTAGGTTCAGGACCATTTCAGTTGATCCCTCCTAATCTGCCTGCTCACACACTTTGAAATCTGTCCGTCGGAGAGCAGCGAGAGGCTGTTGCTGTATAGACAGTGGCTCTACGGGATCAGCATGGGGGCCAGGGGCTTTTTAGGCCTTCTGTTACCCTCAGGCAAGACTGTGACCTCTGACCTGGACACACAAACACACATGCTATATACATGCAAAGGAAAACATGTGCAAGCATGCAGACTTTAACCGAGGCATGAGTGTACAAACGGACCTAAATATATTTGTTCATAAACTCACACACACGTACGCACATGTGCGGATACACACCAGACAACAGAAGGCTGTGCAACAACTGTGTAAACTATGGATCAGCACACTGACTGCAGCCTGTCGGCTGTGACAATCAGTCTCGTAAAACAAAGCTGTTTCAGAAAATGCCCGCTTTCACACCTGACTGTTGCTGATGAGAAAATGACAGCTGAGAATGAGGTGACCGAGCTGTGAATCATCACGTTTTCTAACAT